AACTGTCTCTGGAAGTGAAAGCACCAGAAAATATATTAATTCATACGTAGCTGTCATCCGTACGCAAGGAAGTAAGCACAAGATGCCGAAAACCCTTGGCAGGATGTAGCGCACCCTTCATGCGACTCGCCGAGTATCTCACGGAGCTTCGCGCTTGGTGATGTGAGAGCCTGGTCCGGTGAGAACCCGGCGTNCCCCCCCCCCCCCCCCGCGGGAATGGATTATACCGCCTCCCTGAGAAAACCTCCTCATCAACCGGGTTGAAGAAGTGAGAAACAACTCGTTTGATCGAGTACAAGAAAATTAACTAAGGCTAGACTCTCGGATGAAGTGCAGGAAGGCAATTACGGTTGTTATACGCCAAACACCGCGGCTCCCTCACGGAGAACGGCTTCCCGTGAAAGCCGGGAAATTCTCGGGCATACTCAAATTGTTGCATACCAACCGCTGTTTTGTGTCCATTTGTTTTATTTAAACTCAAAAACAGCACCCGCTAGATTTTCACGCGGTGCCTCATCGATTGCTTGTCTTAGTCGTTCGATCGTTGCCCGGAACGATGCACCCCTTTTGAGACGGACGAGAAACCATCCTGTTGATAAAAAGAGACATCACGATCTACACGGCTAGCTAGGATTTCCGACACAACGTACCCATCCTACTGCGTACCACTACACACAGCGTTCCGCGGAGCCTTACCTCTAAGATGGGACGGGAGTTGGTCGCGGGAGCGCAGAACTTGCAGGAGAGACGCCCACAGCGGCGGCAGTGGTGGCGCCGCAGAATCACCGTAAACCTAAGGCGATTTTGACACCAGAGGCAACCGACGAAAAATCAGTCTCGAACACTATGATACTAATACCCTTCAAAATTAAAAGACAGGGAATAGGCAACACGTCCTTCTTTCCGGGGGGGCGTACTCTTATGTTTTGCATGTCCTAGCCGTTAGACTATTGACCACGCGTCCTCGAGAGGACGGAGCATTGTTCGCACAGGACCGATCACCGATGGCCAATCGTTCCTTTTCTACTTTGCCAAATGTGGCTCAAAAGGTCTTCCCTAGTCTGTCTATCCTAACGATATCCCTTCCCGCCTTTTCAACCCACCTCCTATGCCCCA